AAACAGTATGGAGAAGGAAGGTATTCCAATGAGACAAGTGATGCATTTTTTGAGGATGGTGTTTCTACAAGCAGTCAGGTTAAAAAGCTTCTACTTGCTAAAGGTTCATCCTCTTCCACACCTCGCACCTCAGCAGCACCCGCTTCAAGGTCAGCTGTCAAAGCTACTAATAGCAATGCTGGTAGGAGAAGATTTCAATCTGAAAATCCTCTTGCACAGTCTGTCCCTAACTTCTCTGACATGAAAAAGGATAATACAAAGGTTTCCTCTGCCGTGAGTAAAACAGCACGTTCTCAAATTAAAAGCTATGCTCGCAGCAAAAATACAAGTGAAGAGATACCCATCAAGGAGGAGAAATCTTCCAGATCACAACCACTTAGAAAAAGCACCGCAAATCTGGGGGAGTTTAGTGAGACAGCTGTTTTGAATTCTGAAGATGCTTTGACCCTTAAAAATGAAGAGGTAATTGATAAAGTTAGGAAGAATGTGGACTCAAGGCCTTTCCACAGGAGGGGTAAAAGTACAGACGTTAGTACTAGAGTCAGTGTTCCAAAGCAGATAAGTTCTCTAGGGTCTGAGAGAATGAACAGTGATGAAGAATACAATGATGCAGTCTTTGTGTCAGACAACAAAATGAATCTGGTTAAAGATAGAGAGGACATGTTTGAGAATGTGATTACTGAGCATAGCACTAACTTAGACAATGGGGAGTCAAGATTGAGCCAAGAATCAGGGAAGTCTGCAGATTTTGAATCAGAGAATGGTAGTCATGTGAGAACTTTTTCACATTTTAACCCATCTTTGACATCTGAATTGCCTGCTATTATACCTTCCAGGCTAGACTCTGGTGAACATGTGCAAGATACACCAGGAGAAAGCCCTGTGTCATGGAATTCCCGTGCTCATCATCCATTTTCATATTCTCATGAGATGTCTGATGTTGATGCCTCTGTTGACTCCCCACTGGGAAGCCCTGCATCCTGGAATTCTCATTCTCTAAGCCAAACAGAGGCCGATGCAGCTAGAATGAGGAAAAAATGGGGAACTGCTCAGAAATCCATGCTGGTTGCCACTTCTTCCCAAAATCAGTCCCGCAAGGACATGACTCGAGGATTTAAGAGATTATTAAAATTTGGAAGGAAAAATCGTGGTACAGAGAGTTTGGTTGATTGGATTTCTGCCACTACTTCCGAAGGAGATGATGATACGGAAGATGGACGTGATCCTGCCAATCGGTTATCAGACGATTTGAGGAAGTCTAGGATGAGCTTTTTGCAAGGGCATCCTTCGGATGATAACTTCAATGAACATGAGTTCTTTGCTGAACAAGGTGAGCCATGACATGTATTGACATATAACTCTTTCTGATGGTTCACATATTTCATCTGTTTTCATGCTATCTTTTGGTTATTCAAAAATTCTACTATTTATCACTTATCATTACTATGGCAAGGGTTTTTCGTTCGCTCTTATCATATGGTGTTTAGAGCAAGCTCAATAGTTTGGGTTTTTTGGGGGTTTTTGTCAGCCACAACTAGGAGAGAGGAGATAGAATAAGGGGAGGAAAAAAAGAAGGAAAAACATTCGTCTGACAAATGTTTTTTTTAAAAGGCGACTTTTACGCACCCAGAATGGCGCGTATGCACGCGCCTACTGGGCGCGCATTTTGTGCTCAATGCCCGGAAAATTGCCCAGTTTTTTCCTTTTCTCTCCTCGCGGACCCCACTAAAAACCAATACTTGCAGGAAAAGAAATTGTGTAAAAACCATGCTCTCCATTTGTCAAAAAACATCTACCTAGTTTTTCCTTCCTGCAAAAACCACTAAAAAACTTCTAATGGGATTGCCCTTAGAGTTTCTTATTTTTCATGTGCGTGAAATATTTTTGGAAATAAGAAACAGCATTGTTGGGGGTTGGGGGTTGGGGGTTGGGGGTTTAGTGGAGTACAATGGTACTGCAAATTATTGCATATGCATTGGACTATTTTGCAATAAGAATTGCAATGATACATAGTTTTATGGTATCCTCCCTCCCCAACAAAAGAAGAAGAAGAAGAAGAAAAAAAAAAAAAAAAAAGGAACCACCAAACCACAAATAAACAGAACACCATTGCTCAGCCAATAGGCTGGTGTAGCGGTTTGTGATGTAACGACTCATAGCATCAGTTATTTGCTTTACTTGGTTCGTTTCTTCTCATTCTTCCTAATATGCTTTTCCACTTTTATTCATATCACTATAATCTCAGCTTCAATTTATTAATCCAATATTTTCTTTTTGTAGTTCAATCCTTGCATGGTTCTATACCAGCTCCTCCCGCTAACTTCAAACTGAGGGATGATCATTTGTCCGGGAGCTCCCTAAAAGGTGATCATTTATGATATCAAAGTTTTCTTTTATGTCACTTTGCTTACACGGTGGTGATGGTCTTTTTACATAATGAACCATTGGAATGTGTCAATTGCCCATGACTTCGAATTAAAGATTTTGGACCTTGAATAATATAATAAATTTTAAAATCTACCTAGATGGGTTGAACTACTACAAATGAGGACTGTGTTAATCAAAGATGGAGGATGTAATTATACTCTGAATTGGTGAGCTGCAGTAAACTTCAGTCACTAAAAGTATGCTTTATCGACAATTGCAAAACCATTTAGACAGTCACTAAATGTCTTCTCCTTTCTACTCTGCTTCTGACCTCTGGAATACTAGGTTCCTGGATCTGAACTGTGTTGGTGTTTCCAATTTGTATCATAGAACTCCGGTTGATATTAAAATTTAAATCTAAGCAATTTAAAAATTCGTGTTCTGACATTTACATTCAATTGACAGCTCCAAGATCCTTTTTCTCCTTGTCAACCTTCCGAAACAAGGGAACTGACTCAAAGCTCAGGTAATTCTCCCAAAAGGGCTCCAGCGTTCATTGCTCAAATGTTCGGCATTGCCTTGATAACATGTAAGGTGGTAGATATGATAGCCGGTGTTGAGATAGGAGTATACAATTGTCTGAATACAATCTATACTCTTTTGTATATCATAATGGGTTTGTGAAATCTTGTTTCCTTCTTATGTATTCCTAGTAGTGTCTTTCAGACGGTATGTATTATGCTGTATATTGTATTGAGAAAACAATTCCAATTGGCGGAATATCAATGTAATTTTGGCGGTATAAGTCATTCTTTTTCCTATGTTGTCATTCACAGTTTCACACCTACGTTTTCGAGTATTAGAACATCCTCAATAGTGTGATTTTTATATTTTTAGATTTTTCTATCCTTGTAGGAAAGAGAGAAGGAAAAAAAAAAGGCAAAAATAAAAAATAAAAAAAAGCCCTGTTTAGTTGTAGTCTGTCTGTTTGAAGAAATGGCCTTTGTGCTACAATTGCGGCCATGTCAATGCATAAACCAAACCCTATGCTTGACCTACAAGGATTTGGTACAGTTGTCAGGATGTAGGATTAGGACTCATAAAATGGAATTGGTTTGCATCCATAGTAGTTGGTGATATTTTGCAATTTTTGAAGAGTTATTGTAAGTGTGATTAGGAAAGAGAATATGAAAGAGAAAAGAAAAAAGGGGAAAAAAAAAGGAAAACTGATTTTGAAAAATAAATAAAAGATAGTACAGCGCACCTAGCTGACGTGTGCACTATTGTGACAGCCATGCGGGGCACGGGCTGTCACAATGCATCCCTTTTTTGGTGGGTCTCACTTTTCTGCATTATTCTCAACCCTTGCAGATGCTCCTCTTACTTCTGCTTTGTTGGCATATTTTTCTGACATCAACTCCAAAATAATCCTTGATAATGTTGCTCTTATTATATAAATATTTGGCTTCATGAGAGTTAGTCTAGACATATTTTGTAATTAACTTTCTCCGTATTCAAAAAGCGGTGAATACTCTAGAGATTAGGATGCAATTATTTTGGTACAGTTTTCCTGCACTACCATGAATTTGTTGACTGTTTTTATTTAATACCATTATTTAACACGCAAGAAAAAGTTCTTTGAATTTCTAAGCATATTTATTGTTTCATTAAAATTTTCAAAGAAGGTTGGAACTGTAGGTTAGTTTGTTAAATCATCTAGTATGTTGAGTGCAACTCACATTTCATTGTCATTATGTGTTGTTTCGTGGCCAAATAGGATTTTATTCTAAATGGCAATTATGTTAGTTGGGAAATTGCATTTGTACGTCCTATCTAGTAAATTGGTGTCTTACCTCGCTGAATGGCAACATCTCCTCTTCTTGAAAAGGGTTGTGAAACCAGTCAAATTATTATGGCAGAGAGCGACAAGGGTCGTGGGTAACATTGGGGTCGTTTGGTCGTAATCCCGCACACTAAGGCGTGATAAGCTCGGGATTAGCAAGCTTGGGTGTTATGGGAATGTCTAATCTTTGATCAAATCCAAAGGCAAATCAAATGCGAGATTAGGGGACAACATATCTAATCTCCACTTTCCCCGCAAACCAAACATCGGCAATCTAGTCAAGTTAGTCTGATCAAATTACAAGTTTAATTTTTAATAGGAGCGGCCTAAGATAAATTAACACCTTTTTAGTCTGATCATAAAGTAGTGCATGCCTTGGATAGTAGCAAGGCCGCGAATTGTTGCAAGTTTAATTGGGTTTGTCTGGCGGCTACCCTAACACGCCCAATGGACTGTGCACTGTACTTAAGAAGAACCTCATAGCTTGCTTTGCTGGTAGTCGGATTTGAGATGCCGTGGACACTATTTTGTATAAGTACTTTGAGAAATCGAATTTGACCTACCTGCATACGTGCAATGGATCGAACACTATTTTATATAAGTACTCTAAAAAAGTTGAGACATGTTATGTGATTTACGTACTTTTTCAGTAACATTTTAAGGTAAGAAAGGTTTTGAGGGTAAAGTTAATAATGGGCAATTAGGCATCCTACCAATTCAAAACATATAGTAGTTTGTTAGGAGAGGAGTGGTAGTGCCAAATCCACTCTATCTCTCACCTGTCCAACGTAAAGATAGAAACTTGACTTAGAAGCCAAGGGAATTGAATTGAAGTTAGATGCACCCTACTATACGTCTTCCCATCCCGGCCTCCCTGCAATTCAAACCTATACTATACTCCTTCTTCCCATTCTTATCTTTCATTAACAATGGCATCCCTGACGCCAGGAGTACTGATCAAGCTTCTCCAGACCATCAATTCCTGCACCGTCAAAATCCGCGGGGAATACCGCTCCGTCCTATTGCAGGTCATCAGCATCGTCCCCGCCATTTCAGGCTCCGAGCTCTGGCCCGACCATGGCTTCTTCATTAAAGTCTCCGACTCCTCCCATTCCACCTACGTCACGTTGTCCAAACCCGACAACGATCTCATCCTCAACAATAAGCTGCAGCTGGGGCAGTTGTTCTACGTCGACAGAATGGAGCCCGGAACGCCCGTCCCGGTTCTGCTCGGCGTTCGCCCCATTCCGGGGCGCCACCCCTTCTTCGGGAGCCCTAAGGATTTGATGCAGATGATGGAGGCCGCCGGGGAGATGGAGTGTGAAGTGAAGAAGGAGAGCGCGAAGAATTCTAATTCGAATTCTAATTCTAATTCGAATTCGAAGAAGAAGAAGAAGATAGTGATCAAGGAGGAGAAGGTGGGGGTTGCTTCTCGGTATATGCAGGGGGTGTTAACTACGGCACAGATGAAGGCAAAAGGGAGTGATGAGAATGAGAACAATGGAGGAGGTCAAGGTGTTGTTGGAGGTTTAAGAGGGAAGCAACAAGAGATCAAAGTTCAGGTATGAAACAAATTAAACTATATATGAATCATCAATTTAGTTTTTTTTTTTTTTTGAAAGTTACTGGCTCTATTACATTGTAGTATCTGTGAAACACAAAGAACCAATAACGCCTCCACTGAGGCTCGAACTTATAACCTTCCAAATGGAAGTCCAACCCGGATACCATTAGACCACATAGTCTTGGTAAATCATCAATTTAGTTAATTCCATCGGGATTGTAATATTGCCAAAAATCGACCCTTTTTTTTTTTTTTTTTTTTTCTTTCTTTTCTTGTAATGACTTAATTGGTATTTTTTTTTTTACATAAATTCCATTTTTTAAATCTTTTTTTTAGATCTACAATATTGATTAACCCTATTTTGCCAATTTTGTTTTTGTGACATTAAGTTATACCAAATAATCTGAGATAAATCGTATTGATAATTTCCACTTAACCAATTTTTTCATTGACTTGTTATAGATCGCAAAAGTTTCTTATGCAGTGCTTTCTTTTCCTCTGGCTACTAAGATATTTCGGTTCGTCAGTTTATCTCTTGCATGTCCATGAATTCAGCAAGATCTTCTCTTTTCTCACCCTATCTCCTCCATATAAGCTTGACTTTCTCAAAAACTACATCAAGAGCATCCACACAATTTGATTTTTTGCACAATTTTTTCTTCTTCCCTAGAAGCCAAATAGGAGAGAGAGGAGAAAAAGAGAAAATGGAAGAAAAAAGAAAAGAAAAAATAAATAAATTAGCATTGTGCAGAGACGCGTCCAGAGGAATTTCTGGCCGCATACAATACACGCGCTGCCCTCTGGCATTTACTCTATCTATTTCTCTCTTTCTATCTCTTTGGGGTCCAAAAAAAATCATCTCTTACAAAAGTTAAAATTTCCTTCTCTCTCATTCTCTTACATCCACCTCATCATGGGCTCCACAAAAAATCAACAAAAGTCCACTAGTGTGGATGTGTCTAGCTGGAACCTAAAACAATTGCCGTAATTGAGATTGGGCATGCTACAAGCCTATACTATAGGAGTCTTTATCTATATATCTAATTTATTTTAGCCTGACTTGAAGGCAAGAACGCAATGTTGTATACTAGATCATGCATATTTTCTTGCTGGGAACTAATTTTTCATCATAAATGATATGATGATCATTTTCTACTGCATTTCAGGCGCGCCCAACAACTCCCTCTGCTCGCTCTGATGCACTACTCACTTCTGATTCAACAATCATCAATGGTGTCAACACCAACACACTTCCAAAACGTACAAACAAACAAGAAAACGTTGACGTCAATTTCATGTCCAACAACAACAGACAAAACATTCTGTCTTCTCACCCAGTTTTATGGTCATCCCTACCACCAAATCTTGTAAAACCTGGAAAGGTATAAAAATCCACGAAATCTTAAGGTATTTCAGTATTTTCGTTAGAGGCGGTCAAAGTTCAGATGAGGACCGACCTTAAATTACCTAGGTCAGTCTTGTGCCGTATTTGAAACTGAGATTGGTCCGGTTTCAAGCGGGGTCTAGAGCTTCTTTAATAGGAACTGGACCGGCGAGTTGGTCCCGTCCAGGCTAGACTCGACCTAGGCCCAATGAGTTCAGAACAGGGTTCTTTCTTAAACCAATTATAATTGTATGGATCATGGTCCTTACAAGTTGTATGGACCATATTTGTATACTGTAAAATAATGTGAATTCAATACAAAAATAATGTACATTTAGTATATAAAAAATGTACATTTTATTATGGTCTACATAACACTGCGTGGACCATGGTCCACACAATTATTTGCCGTCTTAAACTGCTCGACGAGACATCTTTAAACTCGTACTATACTCAGACTAATCCTCGTTTTATGCTTTGTGTTTGGTGTTTTTGGTGAAAAGGGAATGCTTAGAATGAAGAAGTTAGCTTCTCTGATAGCAGCAGAAGCTCAGGCAGAAGCCATGGCAGCAAAGAATCTCCTGCAATGCCTAAGGTAAAAGCATCAGTTCTGGTGAAAATTTTTTGAAGTTAGTTTGAATATTTTCTTCTTCTTCAATTCTTACATTTGTTTTGATTATTTTCAGTATGTTTGCTGATCTCTGCTCATCTGCATCACCAGAGAACCCCCATCTCTCCATCACCAAATTCTTCGCCCTCCACGCCCTCATTGAACAACCAAAGAAGGCACTAGACGACTACTGCTTCACAAAACTCTCTGTCACAGACAATAAGAAGACACCAGATTCCAATCATCTTGGCATTGGCATTGGCATTGGCAAAGGAAAGCTGAAGCCCTCGAAGCCGCCTCTCGAGCTAGACCTCGGAGGCGCAGAGAAGCTGGAATGGGCAAGAGGGGATGGCCTAAAAGCCACCAAGGAGCTAAGGGAATCTCTGTCAAATGAAACACATCTCTGGTTCCTCAAATTCTTGGATGCATCACTTGATGTTGGGTTTCAGGTGAACAACAATAACAACAAGGAGAATAAGAGCAAGGGACGCCAAGAAGAGGCGAACCATATTGGCCTCACACTGTCACTGCTCAAACAGGCAAATGAATGGCTGGACAAGATGATGATGAGAGGCAGCTTGGAATTGGGCTCAGAAATGCATGGCTTTGTTGAGAAGCTGAAGCAGAAGGTTTATGGTTGCTTGCTTGTTCATGTTGATTCTGCTGCATCAGCCCTTGACACCAGATCTCACCGCAACTGATTCCTATCTTTAATTTGCTAAAACTTCAAGAATAATTGTGATTATTATTTTCATGGTTACTTGTAATTTATGAATGCAACTATTTATTTCTGATGATGGGGAGTTCAGAATCTGCAGAAAGAATTGAACATCCACTTTTCTTGCTAATGTTCACATCAAATCAAGGGCGTTTGGATACTAATTTCTATTTATATAATAATGTATAATAATAATAAAAAATATAAAATATATTTATTTCGATTGCATCATAAACATACAAGTTTCTTTCTAAATTATTAGTTGGTTTAGAACAATAATTTTTAAAATCAAGTTATTATAAAAAAGAGTTAATTCCACCAAAGGTCTCTTAGCTTGTTTTTTGTGACAATTCCAAATTTAGTCTTAGATTATCGTTTTTGTCATTTAAGACTATTATTTTTTGGACCATTTTAATCATTCTCATGACTTTTTCTATTTTTAGTAAGGACTTTTTTGTATTTTCATATTTTTTCTATTTTTAGTAAGGGTTTTTTTGTATTTTTGTATTTTTTTTTTAGTTTCAGCCGGTTTAATTAGTTTAAACCTTTAGGTAACATATGATTTTTAGTAACCATATTTTTCAACCGATTTTTAGTAAAGTCCTAAACCAATTAAATCGGTTGAAACCGAAAAAATAAATAAAGAAAAATATGAATAGACAAAAATACCCTTACTAAAAATAGGAAAAGTCATGAGAAGAATTAAAAAGTGTCCAAAAAATAATAGCTGGGATGTTAAATGACAAAAACGATAGTCGACTAAATTTAAAATTGTCACTAAAAACAAGGGACCTTTGATGTAATTAACTACCTAAAAAATCTATTTTACATCTAAAAATACATGAATAAGAATTAGATAAATAGAACAATATATTAATCTTCTTATATATGGTTTTATACACATCCAACTATTCAGTTATTACGTACTCTGTAACACAACCCGTTTGGTTCGCTATAAAATATTTGAAGGGAAATGGAATTCAAATTCCTTGAAAAACAAATTACAAGGAAAATAGATTTCATTGTTTGGTTGGTGGAAAAGAATTATGAATATAAAGACCAACATGTCCTTAAGAATAATATATATGTGTAATTAATAAACTTTTATTATGGTAAAATGGTCCAATTGTGTTATACCATTCCAAACCCAACCGGAGATTGGACGAAGCCCCCTAAAAACATATAGGTTCTGTTCGTCCAAGGAGATTGGACTACTGGCCAAGGAGAGATCTTCGACGATGAGCTGCGCCCTGCTGAGGTACTCCACCGACGAGCTATCCCCCTGCCGGAGGGATTAGAACTGCGCGAGTAGGTTACTAGGTTGAGGCACCGAGCTCGGGTAGAAGACCCCAACGCCGCCGTTACAGATTGCCACACTTGTCGGGATGTCGTGCGTCCGACGGCGAGGTACATTACCTCGTCGGATAGTGAGGAGATGAGCAACAACAAGATCGATTGATCTTGTTAGATCCAGACACCATATGCTGGGTTTGCCGTAGTCGTGGGTATCGTTCCGGCAGAAGCCGACTCGCTGGAAGGTGCAACAACCGTGAGGACTGGTGGCGGACATGGGAGCTCACCATCTATGTAGCCAAGGAGGCCTTGACCTCATAGGAACGGCATGAGTTGAGTCCGCCAAAAGAGGAAGTTCCGTGTCATCAGTTTGATTGACACGAAATGGTGGGTTGATGATAGGGAGTTGGTGTTGGTGACTGGAGATGCGGCGGCGGTGGTGGTTACCGTGCGCTCGGAAGAGTTGGTCGACATTTTGCGATAAGTGGAGAGAAAATAGGAAGTCTAACGCTAAGCTGATACCAGATGAGTGAGAGAATTAATGTTTCTGATTAACTTAAAAGATTACAGCCAATGATACATAGCTATGGAGGTTAAGATAACGTAACCTAGTCCTATAGTTTAGGATAACTAAGTCAAACTATCTACTAACCATATACAATATTATGTACACAAATATAATATAGCTCATACTTTCTTCCCAAATCCTTTGGAAAACAAAAACCAATTCTTTGCTAGGATTTTGTTTTCCTTCACTTTACGGAAGTCAAGTTCCAATGGAAAATATTTTCCATCTAACTAAACAACATTTTTCTCCATTTTTAAAAAAATCTTTTCTATAGAAAATATTTTCCATCCAACCAAACACTCCCTAATGTTATCTATTATTCAAAATAGTTAACGGAATTTTGATATTAGATAATTGCCAAACATTTACAAACGTGTGACAAAAATGAAAATGAAACTGAAATGGGATGATTTGAAAGAAATTTCATAATTGTGAGAGAAATCGAAATACTTTAAAGTTGGAGAACCAAAGTGAAAATAGGACCAAGGTGAATGATTCAATAGAAAGTCAGCTACATATATAATGGATTTTTACGTTTACCCTTCCGACCCCGATCTTTTCAAAACCCTCCTGCGCATTTCTCCGATTCCGGTGCGACGGAACCTTGGTCATCGGAAGGCAAAGGATACGAATCTACTGGTGAATCTCTTTGAATTATCGAAGTTTCGTGGAGATCGAGATCGGCGGTACATATACGGAAACGATATACGTATGATAGGTATTTGATTAATGCACAGCTTTCAGGATTTGCGTTCCGTAATTGGATATGCGTATGTTGGGTGTTGTGCTGAAATGTGTGAACGTTTGCTAGTTTCTGAATCGTTAGATGGTATCGTGATTGAATTGTGATTGTGTGCGTGATTTCGTGGAATGATAATTGAAATTGAGTTGGAGGATTAACTCTCATTTTGCTGCTTATAAAGTTATAGAATAGAAGAATTGCGTTGTAAGATGCATATTTTAGCATTGGATGGGTGGGGGAGTAAGAATACATTGTGTGAAGACAGGCCTCCACCTCCGGTGATTGCCACCAATCTTTGTTTCTACAACATTCTAGTTTGATTTGCTTGACAGTATCTGGGTAAAGATTGGCTCGAAGATGAAGAAATTATTTTTCCTTTCAAAGCAAAGTAGAACTCATAGGATTGTGGATATTGAAATCCCAGTTCTTTGTGTTATGACTTATGATAAGAACCCCATCAAACTATGTTAAGGAAATATTTATGCATAGATGATCCTTTCAAAGGAGGGTGTGATTGGATTTGTTGGGGATAAGGTGGGGGCTTGAGAGAAAGGCATGTTGTGTACCTATGATTCTAATACCACTTGGTGCTGTTTGAGCTCTACAACAATAAGATGGTCAATTATCTTGTGTTTAATGCTCTTTTCTCTTCCTTCTTGTGTAGCTTTGTTCTCGTGAAAGAAAGATGGTGAAACTAACTATGATTGCCCGTGTTATTGATGGCCTCCCGTTAGTTGAGGGATTGGATGATGGCCGTGATGTACCAGATGCAGATTTCTACAAACAGCAGGTCAAAAGCTTGTTCAAGAACCTCGCACGAGGCCAAAATGAGCCTTCTAGAATGTCAATTGAGACTGGCCCTTATATGTTCCAGTATCCTTTGAGTAATAAAATCCACTTTTCTTCGTCTGTTGTATTGATGCAACTCTAAATAATACTTTAAGGTAATAATGCATACAAATATGTTTTCTCTTTTGGGATGAATTGGCAGTAATCTCTGTAATGGTTTGAAAACTTACATTTTGGTATATAGACTTACATGTCCAATGCATGATGCAATTTCTAAACTTTCAGCTCTAGTGGAAATAAACACTAAATAAATCATTGCTGGAAAACCCCTCTATTCTTGTGCATTTCATTATCATTGAGCCAAAATGTGCATGCTACTGCATATTAGATACTTCTGCTAGTTCTACTTATTTAAATGAGATGCCTCCACTACTGTTACTTAACTCAGATTTTCAGTTATATTATTGAAGGACGTGTGTGTTATCTAACAATGTGTGACCGTTCTTATCCCAAGAAACTTGCCTTTCAATATCTGGAAGACCTTAAGAATGAATTTGAGCGTGTCAATGGGAATCAAATTGAAACTGCTGCTAGACCTTATGCTTTTATTAAGTTTGGTAAGATCTTGGTTCCTTGTGGTTATTTTAGATATAGTGACTCCTGTAATGATACTGATTTAACTCTTTTTGAAATCTATGGTAATTGGCCATGTTTAAAGACACATTTATTCAAAAGACAAAGAAACTGTACCAGGACACAAGAACTCAGCGCAATATCTCAAAGTTGAATGATGAGCTTTATGAAGTTCATCAAATAATGACTCGCAACGTACAAGAAGTTCTTGGCGTTGGTGAAAAGTTGGACCGTAAGTTAATTCATTCGCTGCGACAGTTATGAATTTAGTATTGTTTATTTTTCTGCATATTAGTGATTATATTGTTCCTATATGAGCTTCTACAGAGGTTAGCCAAATGTCCAGCCGCTTAACATCAGAATCTCGTGTTTATGCGGATAAAGCAAAAGATTTGAACCGTCAGGTTAGTTATATGGATTGTCAAGATGATGCACTTTTTTCCTTATCAAGAACTTCTAGTTTAATTTATTTATGGAGAACTTATAGACCCAGAGTGTTGGAACAACCATTCTCTCCCCCTTACATTCTATCACTGCCATTGCTTAAATGATGCATGTATGTACATCACTATATCTAGAACTGTTGGTGCACTGTTCATCTGAGTATGTACATGATGTATGGGGCTTCTCGAACATTTTGTAGTTTTAAATATTCCCAATATGCATGAAGTAATTGCCAACTTGCTGTGTGATTATACTATGTGTTTATAATGGTACTCATCTTTTTGTGCATAAAACCAAGCTAGCTGCTATCTACCAACAAGCATGTTCATGGAAAAATATATCTATTTATCATGGATCATATATATATATATATATATATATATATATATATATATATATATATATATATATATATTGGAAATTCTAAGGTACCAATTGGCGCAGTGCCTCTTGCACCAGGAACAACCCAAAAAACTTTTGGAGTGGTATACAATGGGTTTATTTATCTCATTGTACCCAGTATAACCATGTATGCATTTTTTGTTGTATACCTGGTATAAGAGGCACCAATGCCAACTGCTAATCAGCACCATACACTTTTGCCACATATATGTGTGTAGGGGGGTGGGGGGGTGGGGGGAGTTAATAGGTAGTATTGGAT